GTGGAGGAGGTCAGTCTGACCAGTACAGTACATTTATGGGAATGCATGGGGCACAAGAAAATCTCGGTTAGTTGGGTGATGTGTACGTTAAGCTCAGAAAGCATACCTTGATCACAGGTCATTCACCTCGATGCAGAAAACGATAAATAAGGTAATGTTGCAGCATCTGCCTCATATCTCGAGCTATGAAAGCGATTACATCATTGACAGGCGATTCGCACCATGGTGCATATGATTGGTCAAAATAAGTAACGAATGCATTTTTCTCCCAAACTCAAAACTACGGCAGCTGAATAGAGCAAATCGTTTTGTCGCCGATTTACCATTCGTTCCTTGAGCAGCACACTCATTTGTGAAGTAAAATGCTAGTCAAAAAACCTTCACCCGGTCATTTTTAGGTGGTGAGGTTTTGTTGGCTGCCATGGAATAGAGAATTTTTCGCCTCTTCAGAGATTACTGCATTTCACTTTTTCTAATTAACAAAGGTATTTTTCTCATTTAATTAGAGAAGGGAATGACAAATAAAAGTAATAGACAAGATTTGTAGCTGTCGTTATTTATGCGGTCCGCCACACCATCCCTTTTCTACCGTGGTCACTAGAATCCGAGGTGTTCAAATAAAACCTCTACGTTTTTTGCCTCTTTGTTTATGTAATGAGACAGCATTGTGATACCTGCAAATCCGCGCACCCAGGCTGTCAGGTCTTGGCTGACGATTTACGCAGTGAAACGTACGCAGGGGAATTGTTGGCTCGTCATCAATCATTGTGTGTCAGCACCTCTCCTCAAAGGTTTCTTCATAGTGTGCAGGAAGGAAAATCACAGCTAACGGTATCCATCGAAGAACGGATACCAACGTTTGTCGATGGACGACAGGTGTAGCGTGATGTAGAATCCCCCTGCTGAGAGATTTGGTATATTTCGCCACTGTCTAAAAAGATAGCCTGCAATTGGCTGCTTCGTGACGAAGTAGGTAACACTAGATTTATCATTTATAATCCGTTGAAAGACGCCAGCAAAGACTCGTCCTTCCTAGGGTGGCTCCAAATTCATATATAGAGCTTTGGTCGGCTAAAAATAGGGTTGACTTGACAGAAAATTCCCTCAATTTGCGAAAATACATGCTTTGGATAAGGGCACATTATTTGGATAGTTGGCTATGATCCACAACCATCACAACTGATGTTCATGAGACCCGATTCATTATAAGTCTAAATTGTGGGGAGTATTACGGAGGTCTGAGGAGCGAGTTTCATTTCTTCGTTAAAAGTAAAGCTCTACAGATAATGGATTTAACAGCCTGTTGCCATTGCATCGCACCGGGCTGTAGAAACGCTAACTCCTGAAACAAGGCGAGTATATTGGATCAAGACTCTGCAAATTCTCACAATCTTTATGAAGAGTGAAAGAAAGTCCCATGTGGTAGCTTCATTTAAACACCCAAAATGATCTCAATGAGTGCGCCTAGAAGGTTCATTCTCGAACGCCACTCATGGGTACGCACAAACCCATAGCAGTCGCAAAGCTCACCCAGAAGGTAGATCTGACATCAATACAGTCAATACAGATCACCTGTATCTACATCATCACCACTATCGCTGGTGCAGCATCCCACACGCGCTGCCCCCTTCCTGCAGCCACTCCTCAGCAACTGACGCATTAGCATCTCGTGGCTGCATAGCAAGTCGTTAGCACTGCATGTTCATATTCTGACTTCCCCGTTACCAACTACAGTCAAGCGTTGG